AAAAAATGATTATCGGAATTGTATTTGTTATGGAACCAGTTACAAGAGGGTCACTAACATCATAATATTGACAATACTCCTGTTGAATAATAAAGAGAGTAAGCCAAAACAATTTTTTACATGACCCACGGAAATAAAAATAGACACGCACGTGGTTATTATTAGTTTTAAAATTTTTTGCATGTTTTTTTCTACCAGCGCAGTGTTAAGAATCTATATTGTGCAGTGATAGTAGATTCAAAACAAAAAAAATATATTTGAGAAATGGTAAGCTCTTTCTCTTCAAGAAAGATGATAGGACATATCAGAAACCTGCGTCAATCTTGATATTATCCCAAATATAAAAGATGCCCATAATGAATACATAAGACACAACTTCAAAAAGAGAATCACTTGGATAAGAGCAACAATCATGTTGGAGGACGGCCGGCGTGGCATCAAAATTCAAATGGAATTGCGAATTTTGCAACATGGAAATATCAATGATGGAGCTCAGAACTCTGATACAATGAAGATCGTAATGATTGGCATCTGAGCCATCACCCCAATTTAGATCCAATATGCGCTCGTTCCTATATGTGGTTTATATACTGAGTGACATAGAAATTGCAACACCCAGTAAATGTAAATATAGTGGGAGCGGCTCGTGGGAACAAACGGCACTTCGTATTAAAATTGTGCTACTTCGTACACATGTTCCCTAGACCTATTGGAGAGATTTGGGTCGCAGAGCCGGAAGTTTGATCCCTTAGGATTGAAAATGGCGCCAATTTTTGAAATTGAGGCGAATTTCGTGTGAGGAGCATGCTTAATTTCTCATATACAGGGTGTCACGAAAGGTTTGTTACAAACTTCTAGGGATGGTAGATCTCGTAAAAATAAAACTTTTTTATAGATAAACATGTGTCCGGAAATGGTTCGTTTTCCAGATATACAGGGTGGCCCAAATTTGAGCCTCATCATTGGGATCTCGGTAACCGTAAGAGATACGGGGTCGGTTAAATTACGGCAAAGTTGCGCAATTTTATGACCAATTGAATACCCTTTTGAAACCAGAAAGACTCCGAATACTTCCGGAGATATTCGGAAAAAAGCAAAATTTTGAAAAATCGTTTTTTTTTCCCGGGCTTATTTGAAAAGCAATTTAAAAATAAATGTCACTTCATCATTGTCACTTCTTCCCCTTTAGAACCTGTATAGGCCGATTTTATGATAGGTATCTTTTTTTTGAAAATACTTTATTTCAATTTCAATTAATGAATACAATAAATTTCTTATTTGTAATCCTTTAAACAGTGTTTTTAACACTGGTATCAAGGAAACTAACTAGTACAGCTGTACACAATTCAGGAACCCACCACCACAAATTCAGTCCTCTAAACAACAACAATCTGCATATTTTGTGGTAATGTGATTTTTTAAACTCTGTGTAAATGCTCTGAAACTAGACTTCTTCAAGTCTGGCAAACTATTAAAGCTAACAGAGGCCCTTGATATGGGATTATTTAAGCCCTTATTAGTGTTAACATTATGGTGATATATGTTGTTCTGAGTCCTTGTGTTGTGACTGTGTACATTATTTGCAAATAAAATTGGTGTGTTACATTTTTGAGTACTATTAATTACCTTATAAATATACTTGCATTGTTCTAGTTCTAACAACTGGTTCAACTGATATATACCCTTGGTATAGGTCACATGTGTGTTTTCGCCATTCAAGCTTAAATAGAATTTTCAAGATTTTGTTTTGAAGTGTTTGCATTTTTTTGAATGTAACTTTACCACATGTGCCCCAAACCGGGAGAAGATATCTAAAGTGTGTTGCGAAGTATGCATCATATATCATGTTTTACATTATTAGTCAAGTAATTTCTATATCTATAAAGAGCGCCGATCATTGAAGTAATTTTTTTAGTTATATAATTTGAATGTTCAGACCAATTCAAATTTGCATCTATCATTAAACCTAAATATTTAATACAATCTACGTTTTGTAACTCCATGTTTCCTATTTTTATGTTTGGTAATTCAGCCTTTTTATTTGTTTGTTTGAAGAACATATAAGTATTTAGTTTTATCTATATTTATTTTAAGTCTATTACATAACAGCCATTTAGCATATAACGTTAAATCATTATTTACTTGATTCTCCAACTCCCCAACACTTTCGCCAGAATATAATAGCACAGTATCATCTGCGAATGTGAAGTATCAAGTATCTACCACTTAAATTTGCACATTGTAAACTCAACACATGTAAAGAGGATAGCAGTGAACCAAGGACAGATCCTTGAGGCACCCCACAAAAATTTTCTAAACCACACCTTTTATTGTTGTTAATATTGACATACTGTTTCCTATTGACTAAATTAGACCTAATTAAGTTGAGAACCTTACCTCTAAATCCCATATCACAAAGTTTTTTCAATAATTTCTCTAGGCAAACCACATCAAATGCTTTGCTGAGGTCCACAAATACAGCAATAACCAACTTATTATTATCTAAAAACGTCGATATCTTATCAGTTAGATCAACGGTTGCACTTAAGGTACTCTAATGAAGCAATATTGATACAAATCTTTTTCTATATATTTGTCTATAAATGACATCATCCTAGATTTTATCACAGTTTCAACAATTTTTGAGAACGTACTGATCACTGAGATGGGTCTATAATTATTCATCAAGTCTCTACTACCTGCTTTAAAAATTGGGGTTATCTTACTAATTTTTAACTCGTCAGGGAATTTTCCATCTACAAGTACAGCGTTTACTAGTCTTACAATTATTTCCACTAAGTGCCCTTTCAGGTTTAATAGGTCGCGAACCGTAATACCATCATGTCCTGGAGCGGATGTTCTCTTGAGTCTTGAGTCCCATAATGATGTCTGTTACCTCTTTTTCCGTTGTTTCCTGTACATAGCAACTACTATCACAGTTTATTTCATTAAAATTATAATTTACCTGACTAATCTGTATATCATCATTTATTTGATCTACTATGTTTTTTCCAACTTCTGCAAAATGTTTATTTAATTTATTTACAATAACCCTGGGATCCCTTATTTCAGTATCATTAATTGTTAGAGTTTCTATATTTAGATTCTTGCCTGTGTTCTTAAATAGGGTATTAACAATTTTCCATTGTTTTTTTGTATCGCTTTTGGCTTCGTCCCACTTTTGGCTGAAGTGTCGGTTTTTTAAAAGTTTAATTTGGTTGTTTATTCTATTTTTTATATTGGTAAAACTTGCTGCAGTCTGTACGTCATGTGGATTTGCTTTCTTTTTTTTGTACAATTTATCCCGTAAAGCCATTTCTTGTAACAGTTCTTTGGTAATCCATGTATTGTTGTTGTGGCATTTAATTACATTAATATATTCCGATTCACGTTCATACAAACTAATCAAGTCTATAAGTTCCCTGAATGTATTTATATGAGTGTTCACTATCCTATTTTCGAACATTGTTACCATTTTCTTATGGTCTATGTGTTTAACCTCATGCCTCGTCTTTACGCTCTGTATATTAGTATTCTTCTCATTCAATGTGATTAACAGCCTGCTGTGATCAGAAAGTACATTATCCTCAACTATAACCTGACATTTGTTGCTATAATCTGCTTTAACTAACATATGGTCCAGTATGCTACGTGTGTTAGCAGTAATTCTGGTAGCATCTTTTTCATCTATATTGTTCATGATTTTATAATTATTCATTGTTAAAGTACTTTTTTCTCCAAACGTCAAAAAAACGCCACTTTGTTAACTCCTGTCAAGATGTCAGAAATTTGATTTCTATGCTGCCAGGCAAATTCAGCGGGTTAACACCTGTCGAGGTGGTAGAAGTTTAATTTCTATGCTGCTTGGCAATCCCAGCGGCAGCAAAAGTACTTTTAGTGCCGCTCGTACTTTTACTGCCGCTCAACCATTCACTTGCCCCCGAGCTTACCCCATAAGTTTGGAGAAAAAATAGCGTGTTGCATACGGAGTAGAAGCTTTGTGCTTCAGCAGTATTGCAAGCCTCACTACGTTCGGCTCGTAAACCTACTGCTTCAGCACAAAAAAGTAAAGCTTCTACTCCTAATACAACAATATACTATTGTAATCCTATACCACAATGGATTTTTTATCTAACAGATTAATATTAAAATCTCCTACAATTATATGTTGTGCAGGAAAACTTGACATGATGGATTCTAGAATGGGTAAAAATTGGTTGTTTTTATAGCTGGGTGGTTTATATATTAAACTCAATTTTGTACCTCTGTTACCTATGGAAACACTTACCCAACTCAGTGTATCCTCTGGTGGAGACTTGCTTAGTAGTTTAGAGGCTATGGTATTTTTGATAAATATTAAAGTACCTCCACCTCTTTTGAATCTACATGAATGAATAGAGTTGTATCCTTTGAGCTCATATAACCATTTTTCCTCTTCGGTAATCCACGTTTCCACTAGTAACAATGCATCACAGTCTGATCGGTCTACAAAACACTGCATTTCATCTAACTTGTTCCGTAAACTTTGAATGTTCATGTAAACAATATTTAACTTCTTACTTACTAGTTTAAATTGTTTTCGTCTTCAACCAAAACTATCTTGGTATTCTCATCTTTTCTAAGTAGTATGTTTCCACCACTAATCCAGAGAAACTTGAAGTTATTCTCCTGCTTAAACTTTTGGGCCTTTTTGAAAAGTTCAAGATTCTGCTTTGTTAGATCGTGGTTTAGGTATACTTTATTATTACCTGCATATCTTAGTTTCTGGGACTGGGTGTCTAATGCAAGCTTCAGTTTAGATCTCAACATATTTCTTTTGACTTCTTCATTGGGAAAGATAACTTTGATAGGATTTCTTCCTGTGTTCGCCTTCCCAATTCTAAAGGCAGTAAATTTAACGTTTGTTAATGGTACTTGCAATGGTTCACCTATTTCAGTTACAATTTGCTTTAGATTTTCTCTGTCTTGACATGGAATACCATGGATTGTAATGTTTTTGTTTAGTTCCCTTTGTTCATTTTTATTTGTAAGAGTTCCTCTTTCAGTTCGTTGTTCACCTTCACCTGCTCCTGATATTTCATGAACAGGTTATTGTATTTTGTGTCCATTTCTTCCAGCTTCGCCATTACGTCAGCAATTGTGTAGGACTTTTGACTATCTCTCTTAGAACTTTTCTTCTCTGATCTTTCACCTTTCACTTTGCAGTTTTCACAAAGCCAATCTTCCTCTGATTTTGAAATCCTCTGGTAAGCCTTTAAACCCATTGATAAACAGGTCCGGTGCTTCCATATCAAACACCCGTCACAAAGCAGGCCTTCTTCACCATCCTTGACAGTCTTTTTGCATACGTCGCATTCTTCAATCTCTTTCATCGTTCTTTTCTTAGGATTGAGACGTGCCGAATTTCCGAAATTAATTAAAACAATTTCGAATCTTGTGAGAAGCTGGCAACGTTGTATGCAGCAAAAACAAAAAATGTATTATTTGCTTGCTTGTCTTGACTACACACTTGACAATTTATGCTTTTAAAACCATATTTTAGCCGTCACCTTCACTGCCTGTGTTTATTAAGATGTTGGACAATCACTTCAGATAGATTTCGCGATTTTAATTTCTCGTAAAATGTGGAAAATATCGATCTTTCTTAAGCAACGTAAACAAACCGAACGTACAGCGTTGCCGTTTTTTTCCAACGTCTAACAAGAATCCAAAGTTTTCACCTCGGTTTTCACCAATTTCCGTAGTTGAAATGACGTTTCCGGGTTTCTTTTGGGTGAGGATCACGGAAATAGACTCAATAAAGACCTTTTTTTTTATGAATAGGCCCCTTGCATCAAATTTTTTTATTGCTGATTTCGATAGTCCATGAAAAATAAGTCAACACGTGTTTTTTCTTTTTCTTCTTAGTCAAAAATTGACGGAGATACAACGCTATGAAATATGCCTATGACGTCATCAGGTATAATACTTTATGACGTCGCACATGCTCAGTATATCTATATATACAAAACTTAATATTTGTATAACTTCCGAAATAATCATATTTGGGCGAAATGAAAAGAATTTAACGATTTTTTTTCGATTTCCTACAGTTTGCAATAAACAATAATCAATTTAATTTTCCATGCAAGTACCCTATTCTTATGTAAGTATTTTGAATAAAGAAGCGGAGATAAAATAAGTAAAAAACTGAAAGTTATCTATTTACAACTAAAAATTGTGAATTATTATTGAAACGTATTTACAAGTCAAAAGTCATCACCAGGGAATGCTTCATCATCGCTAAAATCTCCTGTTGTAGTCGAGCTAGAAAAAAGTGTTTAGTCAAAATTACAACAAATAAAACGCTGACAGTAATGTCCATAATAAGCATACCTATATAAACTCGCCTCTGATTTTTGCAGTATTCTTTGCAGTTAGAACGAAGGGAAGGCTGTTTCGCAAGTATGAGCACCTCATGGTCTCACAAGTTGACTTGCAGCCGCATTTTCGAAGGACTGGGAGCTCTTTCCATATTTGTGCCTCTTTGGTCCAGTTTGGTTCCCAGGTCACATTGCCTCGTGTCCATCCCCAAGTTGAGGGATTTGGAGGGTATTCAGTAGGTGACAAGCAGCGGCCCCACACATGACCTGCCTGGTATGCAGCCCGCAGTGCATGCTGCTACAATGCAGAAGGCGTTGGAAGGAGGATTTGCACAAATTTATTTTTTGTACAGAATAAATATTTTTGCACGTTCGTAGTGGGTTTATCCTGTGTTTTGCGGTCATAAAGAATGGCAGTAAATTCTCCCAAAGTTTTCATTGTTTTTTCTGTTATTTCTCTTTGTGGATTTGAGAGTTCAAGTGAAGCTGGTGTCACGTCCGGGCGTTTCATCCAGGTCATAAATGCTTTCTTCTTACTAATTGAATTGAAGAAGGACATTGTGTCACAACCTGTGTAACAATGAAAGCCACGCAGGGCTTGTGAGGTTTCTTCTCCAAGTGTAGACGCAATCAAATGAGTAGCTATGTATCGGCGCTTGGCACCAACACCTGACATTATCCAAAGTTCTCGCAGTCCGAGTTCTTTCAGAGAAAAGAAGAACCAAATGCATAGGACCAGAACGTCAGTATCTGAAGACTGGACGAGGATGTTCTGGGCTCCATGCTCTACCATGTCTTTCGCATGAAGAATGATCCGCACGTGCGTAGCTCGTATTCCAGCCAATGAGGTAAGAGAATCATTAGATGAAATAATTTTTTCACCCCGGTTTGTGACTACAGTTGCTGCTGGAAAATCACAAATAAAGCTATCTGCGAGGTACTCAAAAAGTGCACCTTTGTTTTTAGAGTTGCGAAGGAAATCTGCCCAGTCGCAAGGAACTTTACTTTTGGGCTGGACCTGGCGTCGGAGCACACACCCTCGATTTTCACGAGTCGAATTCTTCAAGCTAGCGGGCCAGTAGAGATCCCAAACCAAGTCAACGCGTACTGCCCTTGTAGAAGAGACTCTCCGACAAATGTTTACTTTCAAGTCCAAGCTAAAATATTCCTCAAAAGTTTAGCCAATGCATGTCCTGAAATTTTGCACTAACGCCGGTCCGTCAATTATAATGCTATCAAAAGACTCTCGGGCTCTTGGTGCCGATGATACTAATGTTTCCAATTTTTCGGCTAGTTCATCTTTTTTTCCTGGCCTTAGTTTTCCATTCAGAGACAACGAGGGGGGGCATTCCTAATTTTCATAGTGGAAAAACTTATCAAGGTCCAGCTCTCTCTCCTTTGCTAAAATGAAAAGCCTCGAAAATAACTGAACTTCATCTTTGAGGATTTTTACTTGAGTGCTTGTTGCTGGTTTTCTACTTTTATTATCAAAGATTTTTGTTCCAATTTTTTTAACAGGTTTATACAATGCTTTGGATTTTAGAATGAGCCTCTCCTGAACAAATGTTTCATAGGCATATCTACCAGCACTTTCCGCACTATCTTGAGGCTTTACAGACTTCTCTTGCATGACTATTTTGGTATCCAGACAAAATAGATCACCGCTATGCAAAAGGATTCCCTACGCTCAGAAAAGCATCTTTCACAGCAAGACAGCGCTCCAGAAATTTTAGTTGAAAAGAGGAATACTGCTCATGATGTTTTTCGGAAGAGGAAGGAGATAGATTTTCAAATGCAGTTACAAGACGACTAATCTCTGGAGCTGAGAGCATTACTCTGCGCCGTGTGTTCAAATCTTGGTAAAGGCCGTTCGCACCACCGGTTTCCTTGATTTTATGTTGCTCATGAGCCTGGTCAATAGCTATAGCTGAGAAAGGCTTTCCAGACTTCTGAACAACAAAGTTTCCTAGAAAAAGAAGTTATTTTATGAGAATATGGTTTTAACATAATCAACATAATAAATGTTATTATTAAGTAACTGGTTAGGATGTTGTCTTGTCATACCTGAACAAAATTGCTGATGAATATAGAAAGATTTGATATCCAGCTCTGTCAAATCTTTCATAGGGACGGACAACCACCGCGACTAGTTCACATGGTCGAAAGCAAAAAACCAGACAATCATTTTTTTGATGCATCTCAAAAAATCATCATAGTTTTTTTTCCTCAGTGATCCCGTAAAGGTATGCAACAGAATCTCAAGGTTTGAACTGCCAACCAATATTTAAAGGTCGGACATTGAGAGCTCATTGATTTTAACCATTCGTCAAGTGACCCGTCGCCACCGTCAGAGATATATTTATCATGACTCTCAATCATTGAGCTATACAAAACTGCCGCGGTCACTTCATGAAATAAGCGCGACCTTTTCACATTAGACACCTAAAAGATAAAAAAACATACATAATTACACCACGTTCATTAATTATTACCTTAAAAATGGCTTCTGCTCTTCCTTTCGTTGTTACACCTGAACTTGCAATAATACTAATCCATCCACTATCATTCAATAACTGCCCTAAGACACGCAGAAAGTTTTGTTCAATGTGAAAAGGTGCAAAAAGTAGTACGAATTTTTCCTCACTGTCAAGATCTGGCCAGTTCCATTGAATAAGTTTACAAGTTGCATAGAGCGTTGATCCGCAACGAAAACTCCCGCTCTAGGGCTCCAGCTGCATGGAACGCTGACCATGATACATCTTTGTACACGAAAGACTGTGGGCTTTCTGAGTGAAATTCGCCAGAAACGTACGACAACCAGTTTTCTTCGTCCCTCCACAAAACATTTGAATTGTCTGGAAATGAATACAGGAGACAAAACAATCAATTTTTGGAACAATTTGGAATAATATATTATCATCAAATTGTATTATTTTATTAAAAAAAATAAAATTACCTGGGTTGGTGAGGAAGCTCGACGAATCACAGAGGCAGTCGGGCACAGGAGATTGTTTCTGAACAAGTGTCTACTCTGGAACGACGGTGAAGCCATTAGGAAGAGAACGTACAGTGCGTCTGCCACTCTTCTGGACAGTACTAAACATTGTTTGCAGAAGTCGTTTTTCACTATGAGACTGTAGGTTAGGCAACTGGAAAACTGACAGGGCTGTGCCATGAAAAAAACTCTGATGTTGTGCTGCTAGGGTTGTGATCTATATTATCTATTGCAGCCACAGTAAAAATATTTTTTCTCAATATTTCTGGACAGACAACTCCTTCTTCTTTGGCTCTTTCGGCAGCTAAATAACAAAATGTTGAGGTTATTTCCATAATGCGGTCATATGACACAGATATACCCAAAGAATGCAGCCTGTCAATTAATTTTCGCGTCTGGAATTCCCCATACAGAACGATTCCAATGTACACAAGAGGAGGCTCATAATCTTTTTTGTGTCGAATTCTATCAGAAGTAATAGCTCTATCCTTTTTCTGAAAATTAAATAGAATAAGCTGGCTTATTGGGAGGGCTGGGCCTTAGGATTGGCATTTTGATTGTTCACAGTTACCATACAGAAGAGATTTCACAACTGCAAGCAACGAGGCACACTATTCTCCTGACATCTTTCATCAAACCGGCCCTCAAATTCAACTGGCTTTTTCGATATTTCTTTTCTCAGGTTTCTCATCAGTCTGTTGAATGCTAATGCATCGCCGTCGCGGTCCTCTTCCACAAACTCTTTGTGTATGTACGCTGATTTTCTAGTCAGAACTTACTCCCTGCCGGACCTAATTTCCTGAAGTTCGGTAAATATGACAATATTTTTTTCCGTTAACGGGTTGTCTGAGTCTGGGCTATTTCCTCACGTGGAACAACCAGAAGTCCAGCTAGTCTGTTTCTGTACATAATTGTTAGGTCTAGAACTTTAAAAACAAACTCAGTCAGCTCACTATTCAGTTTTATTTGCATTTGCCATGCCTTCCTTCATACATCGCAACACCACTTACTGGTT